AAAAAAAAAAAGATGTTTAACCAAGGGAGCTGCCACATGAAGCATGTGTGTGTTTATCTGTACGTCTTCATAGGGATGCCCAGGAAGGTGTAAACTGAAAAGAAAATACTAAGTGCTGCCCGTCTCCCATGACAAGTGAATGGATCCCTCCTGATCAGTGGGACCCCAAAGAAACCTTCAAAACTGAGTCACAGCCACGACGGAACAGAAGGCTGGACCCGCTTCGTCTCATTCCCTCCCTTTTGTGGTTTAAACACAACTGACCCACTCCAATGTTAAAATAGAGATGAGATGCACTCAATCAAAGGCTCTCGTGCAATTCAGATACAAACTACTACCACAAGACCCTCCACCCGCGCCAGGCAAGAGTTGAGTCATGGGCGCCTACACTTAAAGATAAAGATAACGGCCACAGAGTTTTTCTTTTCTCTAGCAGCTAAATAAGCACAGGTCTAGAGAAAAACAATGTCAAACAAGTGCAGTCCACCGACGCTGACCAACTGATGCCCATCCCTTTGTTCCGTAAGCCACAAATACCGCTTTCATTGGGAAAGAGGCTGGATTTTGTTAACTATTCCTCGGTAGAAACCATGCTGACTTGGCGACAACGACTGGTTCTGGCAATTTATGGAGACCTTGAATTCGAGCTGCCTTGTGCCCTGAGTAGACCTTTTGATGCTACTCAGGGCGCTAGTTGTAATCATTTAAATGTTGATGTCCTCCGACCCCAGGGTTAACATGGGTCATATGTAACGTGCATGTGTGTTCAAAGCATGAGTCAGGCTGCCTTCATAAATATTCATAGCTCCTCCTGTAACCTGGTGAATATGTATATTTAGCCAACTGTTCAACATAAAGCTCCTACCCTATTCCTCTCCTTTTCAAACTGTCTCTGGTCTTTGCCGAGGCTATGCTTCCCAGCCAGCTAGGATGGCCATCTTGAAGGCTGTAACCTCTTTCCAAGAAATAAAAGACTCCCTTTTCCAAATTAATTCCGTAATTTTTCAGTGAACAGAGGTGTGTAAAGGTGAAAGTGAGAAAACTGATCATAGCAAGAGGCACAAAAATGCTAAAGTGGGGGATGGGGGAACTGATACTTAACTAAAACAATTGTTAAGAGAATGGCTGGGGCTCAAGAGCCAACCCCACTCAGCATTGCTCTTGCAGGGACGCGGCTCTGTGAACCTTGGGGGACAGGAGGGACTTGCCTGACAGGCCCCCTCTGGCAAGAAGGGTCCTTTCAGAGAGACAGGAAAGTGATCACCCACCCCATTCCCCTACAAGAGAAGAGCTGTGAAACTCTTGTGGGGAAACACACCAGACAGTTTCCCTTCTTTCTAACAGTTTTTCTAGGACAAGATGACTTTAATCTCCTGGCCTGGCTTCTGCATGGGAAGTGGAACTGCCCCTTGGAAATGACAGCAGAAAGCAGAAGAGAAGAGAAGCATGAGCCTCCTTAAATCATGCCCCTTCTGAATCTCCTAATGATGTGGCCAGCTTCCGGTGCTCCAGTGACAGTGACCCGCTGTCCCTGCTCCTTGGGGAACAAGGAGTCTCCCAGGACGTGAGACTTCCAGTGGTAAACTGGGAATACTCTGGGCAAACCTGCATGGGTTGTCACCTTAGTGGGAAGTAGAGTTGCAAGGTTCCCAAAACACAAGGTTACAAGGAAAACAGGTAGCTGATGATAGACTTTGCCCTGGCGATCACTAATTAGTCACTGTTTGTGACCGTGTATTTTAGCACATTAACAAAATAGAAAGTATTCTGTTCACTTTTTCTTTCTTTCCTTTGTTTTTTTCCTGAGACACAGTCTTGCTCTGTTGCCCAGGCTGGAGAGTGGTGGTGTGATCTCTGCTCACTGCAACCTCCATCTCACAGGTTCAAGTGATTCTCCTGCCTCAGACTCCT